GTTCCTTACACAAATCTTGAACTTCGATAATCTAAGAGTTGATATTAATTTTATGCACATTTAATGTTATTGACCGAGTCTGTAAATGCCCCGTTTGGTTTGCAAAACAGGCTGCTGAAAACCTGACAAAAACACTGTTTTTGTCAGACTTTCAGCCAAAAACGCCTCTTGTTTTTGTTAGGCTTTCAGCAGCCTGTTTTGCAAACCAAACGGACCCTAAGTACTTTCTTGTTGTTTGAAATAGACTATAGATGATCTCCACGCTTTCATAATTAATAGTGAGGAAACAATCATTTATGCACTAGTCTTCAGCACTCCATGAATCCGCGGTTGACAAACAAATATAACTACTAGGCATCCACTAAATATTTTATGGATTTTTAGGCACTTCATTTGAATAAATTATAGTTGGGCGCTAATCTTTTTTACTAGTTCTACATTGGGTTTCCATATTTGGTTTTCGACTCAAGACATACATGCATTGTTTATAATTTGAAGGACTAATTGCAGTCTGGTACCTTGTGATTCCATGAGTAACCCTCAGATTTGCGTATCTATATATATATTTTTTTTTTTTGAAGGAAAAGAAACAGGGTGAGCTACCCTGTTTATATATATGCATTAAAAGGAAAATAGTGAATATAAAAAAACTGAGAGTATTTCTGCTAGACTATCAGCTATATGAATACAAACCAAAAGAAAACCAACACAAAAGAAAAACAACTGAAACGCAAGAGGAGAGAAACTGAAACTAAGGTGATTATTGTTTGAAACACTGAAAAACTTGTGGATTAATGATCTGCCGAGAAATTATCTCCAACTGCATCATGCACACTTGTTTTAGCAATTAAGTTCTTCCAGTCCCAAGTTGATGGCGGCCTTGTGTAATCTACTGGAAGCTCTATTTACTGATGTTCCTGTCCAGAACAAAATGTATCTTGCTACATTAGAAGCTAATTGTTGATTGTTGACTGAAATATCATTAAAAATGAGGTTGTTGCGGCTGTTCCATATCCACCAACAAAAACAAGGGAGCATGACTATCCAAAGAACTTTAAGGTTGTGACTGAACAAAGTGTAGCTTTTGGTTAAGATACTCTATATGAATAACCCTAAAGTTGATAGCTTGTATCACCACATCTCAAACTCTAATGTTTCTAAACACCATTTATTTTTTTACTAACATGTCAACCAGCACAATGTTGGAATTCCTAAAATGCCCTTTTCACACTCTGCTATCTTGTGGTATAATGTAATTGCACCCATAACTGGATCTAAGTATTTACATAGACTTGATTAATCCCTCAAATCCTTTTATTACATAATTAGTCCCTCAAATCTTCAATTATTCCATCAAATCTTAAAAAAATCTTCAATTATTCCATCAAATCTTTAAAGTTTCTCATTAGCCCCTCAAATCATTTTATAAAAGGGTTACTTAGTACTAGTCCCGCAAATCTTCAGTACTTCCTTGGTCCCTCAAATCTTAAGCAATTTCAAAATTTTGAGTGACTAATATGTAATTACTAAAGATTCGAGGTTTTAATATCTAAAAAACCTTTTATAAAAGCATTTATTTCTTAAAAGGGTTATTTGCCTAACACCCCTTACATCATGGGTGTTTGCAAAAAATCTTCGCAAATCTTACTATTTGCAAAACTCTCTCTCAAATAATTATCTTTGTGAAAAAATAGCCCTAAAATCAACAAATCATCAACTTAGTGGTAAAATTTCGACTATTTTATTTATATTTTTTGTATTAGGATTACAAAGTAGCTTATCAAAGTTGATGATTAATTGCTTCAAGGGTAATTTTTTTCCAAAATTGATGATTTGAGGGGTAGTTTTGGAAATAGTAATATGTAAAGGGCATTTTGCAATACTAATTATTTAAAGGGTATATATGCAAATAACTCTGAGGTTTGGGTATATATGCAAATAACTCTTCTTTATATGGTCCCGTACATTCTACATAAGCAACTTGGATTAAATCCCGCCAAACGCTGTGAAAATTGTGTTTGTATGAAAGGATATATTTTTTTCTTTACAAAGAAAAATTAAGCTCCATTAGCACTTTCACACTGGCCATCGAACTTGGTGTTACCTTTGTAGATACCCAAACCTCATACGACAGGGTACCATAACGTAATTAATCCTAATTTAAAAATACAAGATTTAGTTTTTTGGTGTCCAATATTAAATTTCCCAGTTGGGAATCTAGACTCACAAATGATTAAAAAACTTAGAAGTTATCACAAGCCAGTGCTCAATGTTGTAGCGATGTTAATGAAGGTCTATATATCATAGTAAAAGAAGAAGAAGATGAATAAGATGATGATGATGATGAGAAGGTAAAGTTCTTCCAGTAATTGAATAAAATACCAATTCAAATCTATTTTTTTTTTCTCCTTTGCATGCTAGGAAATAGTCCCCGAGAAGAGGTAGACCAATTCTAAATAAATAAACTAAAAAAAACTGGATCGGATCAAATTTGACCCAGGTTTCTCAAATATAAAACTGTGCCAGAACCATCCTTAGCCCAGCTTTGTTGAGTTGCCAAAGAGGCCCTTAAGTCTTCTATTAATATAGATGCCCACCATCTGCTAATTAAAAAGGATGAGTAGTGCTAATCACGGAGTAGTGCTCTCAGAAAACATACGGGACTACTTTTCTGGGAGATTAATACACTTAAAATCAACCTCTTTTTAGCCTATTGGTAAAAAAAGATCGATTTTGCTAAATATTTAACAAAATTATCGATTTTTCTAAATATTTAGCAAAATTATCGATTTTGCTAAATATTTAGCAAAATCGGTCTATTTAAAAAAAAAATTCCAAAATGAATTGATTAGAAAATATCAACCTGAAATCATGCACCCCTGTTTCAAGGAAATCTGAGATATTCACTACGGCATAGTTGTTCGGTTCAAAGTATTTCGTTACGATGAGACCAAATTGTGTGGAGGGAGAAGACCGAGGGTCTCATTAAAATATTAGCCGTTTAGTTGATTAAAAATTAGAGTCGCGGTAGAAAATGTTGCGGTTAAATTTCTGTTTTCAGTACGTTTTAACTGAAATTAGATTCTGTAAAAGAAATTCCGGGGCATCTATCTATCATTCTATTGAAACTATTTAGGCTAGCAAAATTTTTGTGAATCAATGAAATAAGATGGATAAATCTGTGATTTTCTTCCCTTTTTACTAACTTTTCTAAGGCTGAATTCATCTTTTTTAAAAAATTTGCAACATCTTGCACTGCTATCGCTTTCCTGGCACGCAACAATCACCCACCGGCACAGAAATAATTTATTAATATTAAATAAAATAAAGCCTACTTTTCGCTGCTTCTCTCCGCAGGCTCCACTTGCAAAACTAACTGCTGAGGAAATTTGAAGTTACTTAAAAAAGGAATAATAAAACGACTCAGGTTACAGAAATTCCAAATAATACAAATGAGCAGGGGAAATTAAGTTACTTAAATGGATTAATTGTCTGGGCAGGTTACCGTTGGCGCCTGTGGTTAAATCTGAAATAATACAGATATATAACAATAAAAACTGAACAGAAAATTGAAGTGCGGTAATTTAAAATTAGTCAAGTCAACTGCTGTGCGTTTGTAAAACGCTGTGCTTAAAGCATTATTTGGCATACTCCGGTGCAAGGATCCTAATGCCAAATTACTTCTAGGAATAGCAGTCTAGTACTCTGGTGTGCACCGACCCTAGTACTATCAAGATCTTCTCGATCTATAAGGTAAAGATCTGCTCAATCTATCAGGCAAAGATCTCATCGATCTATAAGACCTTCTCGGTCTAGACACTGTTCCTACGAGCACTAACTATTCTATTCATATATATCTGTATATATTGATTATTGTTTTGGAATGAATTTTCCTTAAGGATTTGGGGTCTATTTATAGCGTTTGGAAAAATACTATGCGCTAATAAAATATTATTGTTTTACTATGCATGTGGGGCACACACTCTTATTTTTCTTTAGTGGAGTCCACCACTTTTTATATTTTTCACATTTGCGTAACTCTTTTGACAATTAATGAGAACATGGGCTGCTAAACAAAGAGATGATGTTTGTTTATTAAAAACTAATTCCAACAGTTACATCTGTGAGTACTGGAATGCATTAATTAAGATACGGTTAATTGCTTCAAGTATTGCCCAGTGACGGATAGACCCCATGTACTTTTATCATTGCAGATGGACCCCTAAGTTTTTTTTAATCTTTTACCCTTAAATATTATGAAACCTGTTTTTTGACAAATTTAGACTTCTTCAGGGTAAAAGAGTATATTAAAAAAAAGAACTTACCCAAGGGATCATCTACCCATAGTAAGGCGATAGTACAAAAGTACAAAGGGTCCATCTGTAACAATAGAACTATAAAAGATCTATCGATACTTGTTCCATAGTACAACATGTCTATTTGCCATAATAGAACTACAAGGGATCTATCTGCAACTGCGCAATCTTCCGAAGGAGTACTATATGCAATTAACCCATTATATACACAACCTGAAGAACTCAAAGTCACGACCGTGTTCATGTCTATAAACCGTTGTAATCCTAATCTCGTTGAAACCCCAATTTCTTTTGTATCTAGGATAGTTAATTAGGATCTGTGCCTAGTGTTCGAACAACTAAAAACTAATCAGTTGTAATTTGAGAAAATCAAATACAGATACAGTTCTCTGTTTCATTGTGAAATTTAAGTTCATAAGTAAAAAAAATATAAGTTACGTATAATAATAATAAATAAATAAAAAGAACAGTCACGATTATTTCATATGCTTAATTTCTTTACTCAAAAAAATCAAATCTCCTTCAAATTAGGAGGATGATTGTCTCGAGAGGTACCAATTACTTCTTGAAGAAGTATGTATCAATCTACGTACCCTATCTCATCTATACAAAAGAATGATCAGAGATTTAAGTATCTGATGGATCATTTCCATTTTCTTTATTTATGAACTTCTCATAGCTTAGCTAAGAGCATCGATTTTCAATTGTCGACCACGACGACAATTTTCGCGCATAAAAGCTTTCCCTGAGGTTCTGAAGCTTCATGTAATGCACAGAAGCGCTGCTGCTCCTCAGCAACCTCAACAGATGCAGGAAAAGCTCGGTCTCGCACGCGATCCTCAGTGCGCCGCCGTAAGAGTACCCGAACTCCTCGACTGAAAGCTGTAGAAGATCTCCGAACAGAGGGTGGCTCAGAAAATGAGCGTCCAGTCTGAATCTCTGTGGCTCTTCGACTCCGACGCGCACCCAAATGTGCCCATGTTCGAGATTGTTGTCGTCGGCGGTGCTGAAGCTCTTTGGGCCGCAGAGGAGCAGCTTCTTCACCAGCCCACGGGCCATGGGGGTGGTTCTTAGCTGATGAAAGGGTTGAATGAAACGGTGATGTAAGTTGTGGGAGCTTTAATTTGTTGTTCTTTTATAGGGGGGAGGAAGTTGTCTTCTTACTCTTTGTTATCTATCATGCTGTTGTCACGTAACGTCAATGTGCTGCAGAGATATTTACTCATATTTTAGTATGTTGCTGAAAGACGAATCCTTAATTATTCTCTCTGTGGTGCTAAATACATAGCTCGTATTTTGCGGTATAATATTGTTGTTTATGAAGCGTGATTTATAACATGCAAAATGCATATCATCGGGACTCAGAATTGAACACCTACAGAATTGTCCCCCATGACGGCTCCACTGTAAATGTACCTTTAGCCACCTATTATTTTTCATATCCGGAAGAGAGAAAAATAGAGGCGGCACGGGGGGTAAGAACAGGGTTCGAAAGATTGGTTGTTATTCTTCATTGATTATTAACGGAACCATGATCTGGTTGTAACTCGGTGATGTAGATAATCACGCTGGCTTTCAACTCTTGTCAAGTCTATCTGTGTTTGTGATTGTTTCTCTGGTTTCTTTTGTTATTTTTATTGTTTATTTGTGGTTAGATTTTGTGATGTCGCTAATGTACACAAGTCGCGAAGTTCCTATGTATATTGCCGAAGGTGCACCCATAATAAGTCCATAAAATAATTGATCGTAAGCATGTAATGAATAGAGGCAGGAAAGTGCTAGCAAGGGACCTTAATTTAATTGAGGCGCAGTGTTGGCTCGCAAATTGCAACTGAGGGAAGGTGCAAGCTTTGATTGATTGCACCGCCGGATTGTACGTAACACCCCGGCCCCAATGATTTATTTATCATTTTAGTACTCTTTCGCGTCTGAAGAGTCCCTTCCCACGTGCTATATGCACATGAAGAATCCCTAGTGACTTGTTATTAGCATCTTAGAAGCTCCTTTAAATCGAGAGAAACCTTAATTTAAGTATGCTAAATTCATGAGATGTGATAAAAAAAACAAATAATGAAAGAAAAAAGATGAGCTTTAAGAGCTAAGAGAGTATACTTATATATAATTATATACTAAGAGAGAGAGAGAGTATATATATATATATATATATATATATATATATATATATATATATATATATATATATATATATATATATATAGAGAGAGAGAGAGAGAGAGAGAGATTAATGGGTATCCTTGTCATAGGAGGGGATTTCCTCCTTGACGCCTCTAAAATCACATGATTGAACTACATTGTAGATGATCCGTTCCGTTGAACTTGATCTACATATTCTAAAACCCCAACACACCAAATTTGGGATGAACCCGTCGTGGTTTGACCCTCCGTCGAGTCATGTAAAAAGTTCTATTCATTCAAAACCGTTAAAATTGATACGAGTGGATGAAGGGTCAAACCACGACGGGTTTACCCTAAATTTGATGTGTTGGAGTTTTAGAATATGTAGATCAAGTTCAACGGAACGGATCATCATATCTATAATGTAGCTCAATCAAGTAATCATCAATGAATAATAAACTTAGTGAACGTCCATTTAAGTTGACATAAGTTTTTCTATATATATATATATATATATGAGAGTGTGTTTGGCAAAGCCTTACAAAACCGAGCTAAGATCAATTCTAATCCAACTTTCTTTCTACATGGTTCACTATCGTAAACCAACCCACTGGCCTACAAAAGAACTAGTTTAGAGTTTATTTTTGAAAAATGATACAGGCACATCCTCAGACACACCATCAACCACACCCCCTCTCTATCTACAGTGCAGGGGGTCCCACATTAGATTTTTTAAAAAAATTTGATGTGAGGCCCCATGCACTGTAGATAGAGAGGGGGTGTGGTTGGTAGTGTGCCCGAGGGTGTGCCTGTAGCGCCTCCCTTTATTTTTTGCCTAGGAAAAAACTGGGTCAGTCTCGTTTCATTTTCCCCTAACACTTTTTCTCTCTCCTATAGAGATCGAGGCCATTTTCTATGACTTTTTTCGTCTCCTCCCTCAATTGGCCCGTTTCATTTGATCACACATACCGGATGAACCAATTGAGATCTAGCCCCATAAACTCCTACATCATACATAGACAGGCTCACAAAAGCCTATCTGAGAAAATACGCATCTCCTCGGCCCATCAATTCCTGAAAGCATGCAGCCGCGTTTCCCGCAAAAAATGCGATATTTTTCTTGTTGGCTCAAAGTATAGTATCTTCTCTGGCATTAATCAAAATTAAATTTTAAAAAAAAAGAATGCAAAGGAAGAAGAATACGGCGTATCCAACGAGGGGAGCATACGCGTATATCTTATGTTGCGAATTGTTAGAATATCTTCGACCACAGATTTTGAATATAATTTCATAGTGCTTTATTTCGCCCCCCTAAAACGTCAACATTTCTATATATTAGTGCCCCGGATCTTCGAAATCGATCTCAGACCCTGCTAAATCTTCAATATTTCGATAATAGCCCTCAAATATTTGAAATTGATCTCAAGCCCCCACAAAATTCTATTAGTATGTTGAAATAAGCCCTCTAATTAAAATCTAGTTAAAATAGGGAAAGTTTTCTGTTTAATTTAAATTTTTTTTGGGTGATTTGCCTCACACTAACCCAAATTATTAGCCACTTTAACTTATACCCGTTAAGCTCTTCAAATCTGTTTAATAAAATACTAACTCTAACCCATTTTCACTTCATCTTCTCTAGTGTCTTCTCTAACATCTTCCCCCAATAGGAATCTATCCGATGTAAATTTGGGATTTAAAGCTGAAGAGAGGTGTTGCAGAAGACGTTAAAGGAGATGAAATATACAATGGGTTTGTGTTCTGGTTTTTTTTAACAAATTTGGAGATCTTAACGAATATAAGTTAAAGTGATTAATGGATTTGAGTTTGTGTGAGAGGGGTATAGCTGACAAATCACCAAAAAGGTTAAAAGCAAACAGAATATTTCTCGTTTGAGCCAAAATTTGAACTAGGGAGGGGCTTATTTCAACATACTAATAGGATTTTAGGTGTCTGGTATCAATTTTAAAGATTTGGGGAACTAATATCAAAATATCAAAGATTTAGGAGGGCCTTAGATCATTTTCAAAGATTTGGGGGCTAATATTGCAATATTGAAGGTTTGGGGGCTAGCATCAAAATAACGCTTTTGTATTCTAACAGTATAACGTCTAAGATCCGAACAGAGGCCTAGTCACATTTCAAGACTGAGTAACTTACTCCCGTTTAGGTTATAAAGGTTCATGGGCTAAATCGAAATGTTTTAGGTGTGGTCTGTAATCCAATAGCCCGTAATCATGTCTATTTGCTAATTACTACCTCTCACTGAAAGTTTGGATATGGGCTATGTCAAGGCCTGTAAGACAATTTGCATATATAATCTATGTGTCTATAAATTTTAGGATTCAAGGGAACAAGATGGGCCAAAAGCCTATCAAAATAAACATTTTTTAATAAACTAATATGTGGACCAATGCTATGTTTGGAAAGAGAGTAAGGAGGGGTAGGGGAAGGGAAAAAGAGAGTTACTCTGTTTGGGAGTTTTTTTTAAGAGGAGTAAGGGAGGGAAAGGGAGGGAAAAAAGATTCAAATTTGTTCCCCTCCAATTGTGGGCGTTAGGGGGGCGGGGGGGGGGGTGCAGAAAGAAAGTAAAATTTCATAATGAAACAGACATCTTGATCCTCTATCATAATAAATCAATGGTTAAATTTTATTTACTTCCATTTCCTTACTATAATTAGAACTCTCATACAAAATAATTTAAGTTCACCTCCGTTCCCCTTACAAAACTTACAAACAATATATAATATTTTTTCTTCCCTATCCTACATTTCCTTTCCTTTTCTTCCCTTATTAAACTCCCAAACATAGCATAAATGATTTTCATGTTCTACCTCTACAACGCGTTTGTATATACTTGTGTATTACATAATGCAAACTATTTTGTTTTTTCTTGGATGAACACTAACTATGTTAAAATCGAAAGCAATCTTCTTATGCTTGCAGTAAATATTAGGATATATAATTTTATAATGTAAAATAATATATTAATAAAAATTTAAAGGTATATCTCTCTATTAATGTTCCCTCGAAGCCAAATAAAAAATGAATGTATCATTGTCATATAACATTTTCGTATTTCCATCTTTACGAAATCGTACGCATCTTTTTTTTTTTTTTTTTAAACATGTAACTTGCATGTGCCGAAATCGAATTGAGAACCAAAAGGAAAAATAAAAAAAATAAAAAAATAAAAAAATAAAAATAAAAGGACTTTTGAACATGTAACGCATCTCAACCGACTGACTCCCTATGAACGAGTCAATTGTGGTGGCTACACAATAATAAAAAGGAATCGTCCGAATGAGGATGTGCCACGTGGCAATATTAGGTTAGACTAGACCGTGACTTTTTCAAATCCTTTTCATCACCTTCTAATGATATGTATCCTTTTCTTAGTTTTGCATTAATAAAAAATTATTCTATAGCCATTAAATTAACGGGTAGAAAGTGATCATAAAGGCCCTCACACAATAGACTTAGAGCTGATTACGTAATAAAAAGATTTAAATTCAGGATTAGATTATTATAACATTTATAAAAGCATAAATAATTACAACGTGAGGGCTTACTTTTGTTTTGCCCTTTGACTGCTTTTGATTATTTCTCTGATTTTACCAACGAGACTTTAATCTTGAAGTCATGAGAAACCTTAAATCCACAGGGAAGAAAAAAAAGTAACTAACTAAATCCTTTAGTAGAATCAAATATCTCAAAAGATAGGTATAAACTAGTTTCATATAGATGATCCAAGATTCCAAGTTTAACCGAAACTAAAAATTATATTTAGAAAATGGAAATAAAATCATAATTTGAGATACGGAAGGAAATAATAATTGTAAGTAAAGAGATATGGAAATCATAGTTTTGGTCTACTTCAAGGTGGAATTTTTTGACTTTCATGTAAAATCTTAATTGAAATAAATCTAGTTGAGATATCTCAAAGGACGGAACCGGAAATTTTACCTAGATTAGGTACTATACGTTAAACATATAAAATTTTTATACTTATAATATTATTCCATAGAAACGTCTAATTTAATTGAAATAAATCTACAAACCAACTTTGCATGCTAGAAATATGAATTTATTTACCCAACATGTTTTAGGTGCATTAGAATTGAATGTACCATCTTAATTGAAATGGTCACCACTACACTACCTTCACTAAAGTTTTAAGCTGAGAGATTTAGATGGGGCCAATTGCAAAATAGGAGATTGTGTAATGGCACACTCGTAAATATAAGTTGATTTAGGATACACATGCCTTATACAAGTGTAATTTTCTCAAAACTCGGGGCCAATCACAAAATGTTTGCCTGTGTTTTGATCCGTATCATTCACGGGTTGTTAGGGGGTTAATTTGAGAGGTCTCGCTACTAATTTATGTTTATGGTTCACAGCTCATTCATGTTTTGGTGTTAATGTGCAGCTCGCTCCAAAGTTGAAGGGAAATTTTGTGAAACGTAACCGATCAAAGTGGATAAACGACTGATCCGAACAGAACCCGACCCGCGAATGGAAGCCAATGGACTGATGGAGTGTTCGCCAAGCTACCTCCACTAAAATTTCCCCACTGTCTTAAAATCCCAAACCCCCTCTTCAAATTCCAAAGCTCTCATTTTTACCCCCAACCAAAATCTTTTTACCCTTTTCCCTTTCGTCTCCTCCCGAATTTCTCACCTCGGATCTCGATCGCAGGGCGGGAAAGAGATCAGGAGGAGAGAGGCATAGATGGGTGCAGCGCCAGAGTGCGGTCGGCCCCATGAACGGAGCCTGACGGCGGCGCCGGAGGAGGAGGAGGGGGTCCACGTGCTCAATGGCGGAGGAGGACCAAACTGGTGGCCCCCAGGGTTCAGATTTCATCCCACTGATGAGGAGCTGGTTCTTTATTATCTTAAGCGCAGGATCTGCGGTCGCCGGCTCAAGCTCCGGATGATCGGCGATGTTGATGTCTACAAGTGGGACCCTTGGGAACTTCCAGGTACCTTCAATTTGAATTTTTTTTCTCTTCCAATTATCTCATCTTTTGTAATGGAATGTAAATGTGTAAAGTGACGATCTTGGTGTCAAGTGATCGTTTGGATTGAGAATTGAGTGTCAAAATAGGAAATTTTGATGACAAAATGTGAAATTTCAAGTTGAAATACAAGTTTTTTTTTGGGATTCTTACCGTTACTGAATGTTTAGATGACAAACCCATTGTTGTATAATCGCAGACATAATCTATCTGCATATAGATGCAACTGTAAGTGTTAAATGCTTTCGTTACATGTGCTTGTAACTTCAACTGAAAATGTGGGTTTGATCCTATTGAGCATAACTGGTAAGATTATAGTAAGAGAAGTGATAAGATTATAATTAATGGAGTGAAGGGGACTTGAGATATACCTAAACGAAATATTTTTTTTTAATTTATGATAATTAACTTAACAGAGGAGATACCCATAATAGAACTGAGTGGAAGAACATGATTCATGTAGCTGACCCAAAACTTTAGGATAAAAGTTTTGTTGTTGTTACTTCTTCTTAGTGCAGGTTCATAGTTCTTCTAATGTGTGTAATGTAAATGTTATGCGTTTTGATATTAAGTGATCATTTGTATTGAAAATTCAGAGTCAAAATGGGAAATAATATTATAATGAAATGCGAAATTTATATTTCAATAAGACTTTTTTTACGAGTTTCTTACTACCGCTCAATGTTGAGGTAACAATGCCCATGTGGCAATTGGTATAGTCATAGAGATAATAGATATTATCTATCTCATAGATGTAAATGCTTACTACTCACTTCAAATATATGTGCTCATAATATCAACTGAAAAAGATCGGTTTCCAGCACTTTTGTTGCATCCATGTGCTTATTCTCTTAAATGTGAAATATCTACACAAACTATGTTTCTGAAATTCCACAATCTATGTTGCATATTATGCTAGCCAAATTTCCATTTGGTTGTGCTCATTACCGGAATATGACACGTCTTTGTCTTGCCCTTAATTAAACTGCAGAATGCTTCAGTAAAATTTGGTTTTAGTTTGGTTAATTTTGTCTGGCTTGTTCATGCTAAAATAGTATTGGATTAAATTGTGTAGACAAATCGTTGTTGAGAAGCGGTGACAAGCAATGGTACTACTTTAGTCCCAGAGATAGGAAGTACCCGAATGGATCAAGATCTAATCGGGCAAGCAAGCATGGCTACTGGAAGGCCACGGGCAAGGACCGTATCATCTGTCATAACTCCAAGGCTGTGGGTAACAAGAAAACTCTAGTCTACTATCAGGGCCGAGCTCCAAAAGGGAAGCGAACTGATTGGGTGATGCACGAGTACACCTTGGATGAGCAAGTTCTTATGAGCTGCAGCAATGTGCAGGTAGCCAAACAAGTTTCTAGTCCAAAACAAACTGAGTGTTTTTTTCTTTCATTTTGAGATGAGATAAATTACACAAAATCCCCTTATGATTTTTAAATGACAGAAAACCCCCCTTAAGGTTATAGAAGTGACCTTATCTTCAACTTTTAGTCAAATAATCATCAATTTTTTTTATGTAATCATCAATTTTAATGTAATAATCATGTACATTGTTATATAGAAGTAAGACAATTGTCATGTTCTATTATGATAGATTTTTTTGTCATCCTAATTAATTTTTTCATCCTAATTAACATTGAAGAAACTGAAAAGGAGGGGTCAAACTGTTACATTTAAAACCATAGAGGGTTTCTGCAAATAATGCAAACCTTTGGGATTCTCCATAAGATATCCTTTTTAGATTTTAGTTTATATGTGTTAATCTATCTTTGCAGGATTACTTTGCACTCTATAAGCTTTTTAGAAAGAGTGGACCTGGTCCCAAGAACGGAGAGCAGTATGGTGCACCATTCAGAGAAGAAGAATGGGAGGAAGATGTTCCTGATGATCGTCTCAAGAACCAAACTGACATGGGCAACAAAAATGAGCATCTTCATTGTCAGTCAGTTGATAAAATATCAGATGTTAATAGGAGTGGACTACCATATTATGATCTCGAGGACAGCTTGCCCCAAATGTCAAATGAGCTAGATGTGATTCCACAAAGTTCTGAATGTTATGGTCGGAACAACAATATTCAAGATGATAATTTTGGGAGCCAAAGTAACAGAGGGGACAAATCTGAAGAGCATCTTCAGAGTCATCCAATTGATAGAGTGTTGAATGAGGAAATGAATGCACCTCCAAGTTATGATCTTGAGGATATTTTGCTGCAAATGTGTGATGAGGTAGATGTAGTTCCTGAGGTATGCAAGTTCAACACCATTCCTTGTACTATCCATTTATCCAAACATCATTAGGACATGATTAGGAGTCATGAAACATGCATGTTGCTTGCTTTGGTAAGCTTTTGCACTAGATCCAAGTTTCACACGCAGAGAAATAGAATAAGCACAGATGAAGTGTTGTTGCTTCTTTATCGGACTTCTCTCAAGTTTAATAGTAACCTCTTCAGTATTACCAAATTTTTGACTTATTTATATTATATAAACTTTATTTCTAGTGAATTAGTTGACTAAGTCTGTTCTGGAACAATCACTTTTATTGCAGGCGAACACTGAAACTTCTGTTATAAGCAATTCTTTGTGTCCTCCATCCAATGAAAATGATATTTTTCCACAACAAACTGGTACTTGGTGTGAGCACAGGAGCTCCATAACAAGCTTTCAGATCACACCATCACCTTCTGCTGCTTATGCACAACCAATAGAGCTCCCAGAGTTATCGTCCTTGACCAGTGATGCAGTGCAGGAACAAGAGGTAGCCGCTGAAGAATTTCTAGAAATTAAAGACTTGAACGATCTTGATTCAATAGATTGGAGAACAGATGATGCAAGCAAAATTGATCATATTGCAATTACTGGCGGGTTGATTGATACAGATGATTACTTTGATGCCCAAATGTACTTAGCTGAAGCTCTGGGACCCGATCAACAAACAAATCAATATCCATCCTTGAATGGCTTTGGTGTCAATAAGACGGGTAGCCAAGCATCTCATGTTACTACCGAGATCTGGCCACAGGAGACGGCTGTTAATGTCTCGAATGCTATAGAGTCAAATACGGCTACGTCGTCAGGTGCTTAATCACCTTCAATTTCCGTCCGCTGATCTTTTGTGCACATTTGTGCTTCTCTCATTTGTATGTGCTACTGAATTATGTAGGTTTGGGCACAGGGGAGATGAATGGGATTTCAAGTCCCTCAGGATCTTGGTTCAATTCCACACTCATGGCCTTCTTAGATTCTGTACCGAGTAGTCCCGCCTTTGCATCAGAAAATGCCTTGATAAGCAGAGCACTTGAACGAGTATCGAGCTTTAGGGCAGAGCAGATTCAAGAAGCTGGAAATCCTCCTGCTGTTGCTCGGAGGGAGGATCGCAAAATTGGTGGATTCCTTTTTGTCTCATTTCTTGTTGGGCTGGGAGCTGTCACTTGGGTCCTAGTTGTTGGTACCGCACTAAAAGTTATAAAAGGTTTATGGGGTAGATTTGCGTCCTCTTAGCCTTTGAGGTACAACATTTACATTACCAGTGGTATCATCAACAATTCCCATGTTCTCTATTGTAGATATCTGATAATATATTTTCATATATGTTCGGGTATTTATAATTACTTTACAATTGTAAATTTATTTTGCAATGGGTACGAAAATTCTATGGGAAGCACATATTTCACAACTGCACCATTTTAAGATTGTTTATCGACGTAGGTAAGCGTCCAGCTTACTTCACTAGCTTACTGCTGGACCGATTAATTCTTCCACAATCACTGTTGCCGTAATTTTGACATAACAGGTTTGAAGAATGAGTTATATATTAAGTATGCTATGCTGAAAAGATTTCTTACGGTTTGAAAGTATTTATTATTTGACATTTCAATAATACTTGTCAGTAATAAATCGGTAAGCTTCATGATTTCATTAGTGCTAGTTCAAACTCTTGCCTGAATCTTATTTCCAGAATAAACGCAATATTTGCAGCTTTCGTAGTCTAAATTTTCTCAAGCTTTTCAGAACCAAGCTTCGCAAGTCACGGATTTCACTGAAGGTGAGGATGCATGTAGTTCAGTATCAGGTCATGCAGCGTATGGATTTTATTCACAGCCCGCGGAATTCTTTTCAGATGAGATGAAGCGTGCACAAAGATTGTACTCTCATATATAAAATTTCTCGCAGTTCTGAAGATGCAAGCTCCTGTAACTGCAGTAACTTTTTGTACATCACAGTCTACATAATTGTTCACGCACGAGTGAATGCAAGAGATCCTTTCATATGATCTCCCTGGATTCTGATAAGTCGTAGTAGCCATGATAAGGTTTGGGTTCGTATACGAACTCATCAAAATGGAAAGGGTTCGCTCAAAGGTATCATTGTTTGGAACCTACTGTCGTTGGAGCTCTCATGGCCGCGATAACGGACAGACCCCCTCGTTTAAATATTTTCGCCTCTTTCGCCCTTAAGACTCGCTAATTTCATCCAAGGGTACCATTTACATCACTGATCCTCGTGTCATATTTAAGTTTTATTAAATTTAATTTGCCAATGGTTAAAAATTGAGAAAAAAACGAGAAAACAAATAGAAAAAAGCTTCAATTATTGATGAGTTTCTGTTGGTGCTGAGAATTTCTAGAGCATGTCAATCTGGATGGTCTGTCTCGTTGAGATAGACGACTTTTATATATAATTAATATGTTAAATTTTGCTTTCGGGATATGAAGAAAATATCTTTTTTTTTTTGCGATTGACTATCCTGAATATGAATTTGTCTTAATTTCTTTCCTATTAAATCATTAGTTTTTGGGCTTCAATTAACCTTCAATTGAGGGTTTTTTTCTTCTTTTTTTGCTTTAGATAATCTTCGTTTGAGCTCATCTTTTATTTCCTAAAAATTCAAATAAAAACCCTTTAATGATAATAAAAATTATTCAAAAATATAGATAATAGAGATATAAAAATGCAATAAAATATGCTAATTACCTCCCTAAAAAAACCAAAAGTACGGAGTGTCCCACAGAGCCAACTAAATTACCATATTAGTATTCTAAGTTGACCCAATTTTTTAATATGATATTTATTTCTACACTGACGTTAATATGGTATTATAGTTTATGCCCTTATGACGATAAGACCATTTTCCATTGAATTATTTTCTTTATTTTTGGAAATTTGCTTCCACCCACCTGACCTATTAAAAGTATTAAATCTACATTCTCATTTCCCTTCAACCTTGCCCGGTTCAAATTTCTTTCTCTCTTTTACCTAATAAAATTGTCCTTCTTTCTTTCTTTCCCTCTCATCAATAAAACCCCCTCTTTCTTCTTCAAATTCCTCTAATTCGAACCTAAATTCTAATCCAAATTGGTGTCGACTTGAATGAAGATTGTCGGGTTGGAAAGAATTATAAAAAAAGGTATAGTTAGGCAGAATTCTCGCCAATGGCGAGAAAGAGGCCCCATTATCATTTGTCATTGGGGTACAAGTTAAAATAACAAATTGACGCTGAAGCAAAAATGAATACTGTGTTGAAAAATAAGGTCAAATTAGAATACCAATTTTATAATTTTCCTCTTACGAAGACTCTTGAACTTTAAATTTTCCCTAGTGCCCCCTACCTATGTAGTGGTAAATGTTTTAACTTTTACGACTCTATTTGTTGGTTATTACCTAGCTGATCAGCTTGTTACCTAACCTACCTATTCTTAAACGTTACATTTTTTTTATTTTCATATATTCATACATGCTTTTCACATTTCCTTCTTACGAAACCGAATAGAGTGCTATCAAGACCCCTTTTCAGTTAGAATTTGAACGTGCTGGGTAGCATTCGATAGTTCTGGAGAAGAAACCGTGAACGCTAAGGTCAGGTGCCAAAATTGGCCAAGCCACCTCACAAGGCGGGCATTTCGAGAGTCATTTAGTCCCACATCGCCTATCTGTTAATATATCGTGCCCTTTAAAGTACTGTACCCACCTTACATCGATCGCCGAGCTCAGTAGCGTGGGCTTGTAACCAAGCGGGGCATTAAGTGGTCGTGAACGTTGGGCCTTGTAACTGGACCTGGTTGTGCAGTACTCTCTGCTGGCCCGCCCGTTCCAAGTTGGGCAGTGATGCGTGTGGGCCGAGCGAAGGCTCGTTTCTTGAAGAGGAGGGCACCGCGTCAGGCTGGCTTCACAGAGCAGCGAAAACCTCCCGCTCTCAACGGTGGAAGGATCACGGGCTGCTGTGCTGTGCATCCGCGATAGGCCCGGTTACAGTCCACCAACGAACCCACCTCTTTTGCCATTTTTTACTGAAAATTGTCCATGAGATGTACATATAAAGTAAACTGCAGATGACCCACTTTATTTAATACCTCGTGGCTCCTCTCAGTTCATGATGCAAATGAACTTTATTTAATACCTCGTGGCTCCTCTCAGTTCATGATGCAAATGATTGAGACATGTAATTTATCTTTAAAGTAAACTGCAGATGACCCACTTTATTTAATACCTCGTGGCTCCTCTCAGTTCATGATGCAAATGATTGAGACATGTAATTTATCTTTCTAATAAAGGTTTTAATTGGGCTTAAATATCCTATATTTAAAGGTTTCTAATAAAGGTTTCTTGAAGAGGAGGGCACCGCGTCAGGCTGGCTTCACAGAGCAGCGAAAACCTCCCGCTCTCAACGGTTTCTTGAAGAGGAGGGCACCGCGTCAGGCTGGCTTCACAGAGCAGCGAAAACCTCCCGCTCTCAACGGTGGAAGGATCACGGGCTGCTGTGCTGTGCATCCGCGATAGGCCCGGTTACAGTCCACCAACGAACCCACCTCTTTTGCCATTTTTTACTGAAAATTGTCCATGAGATGTACATATAAAGTAAACTACAGATGACCCACTTTATTTATACCTACTCTTCTAAACTTATTTAATACCTCGTGGCTCCTCTCAGTTCATGATGCAAATGATTGAGACATGTAATTTATCTTTCTAATAAAGGTTTTAATTGGGCTTAAATATCCTATATTTTCTTTTTGTTTGCACTTATACACCCTCACTTGTTTTGACTTGTATAGAAGAAATTTTCAAAAAAAACCCAAACCAAACCTTTTTAAAAAATCGACCAATTCCAATTTTATTATAGAAATTTACTTTGGACTTCAGAGTTCGTCGAAGAGCAGAGCCATCGACATGAAGATTTACTACCAGACTGTTCGCTATTAACGAATTACTCGTAGTCTTTAATCTCCAGAATGTTTGAACCGCCAATTTCAGCTGGCACGTCAACAACCTATGTAGATGCATCGGTACATACTTGTTCGTTAACCATCCTGAATTCAACTTCAATCCCCTTTTTTTTAGCTAGATGTCGATGGCAGGCAATTACCAGGACAAATATATATCTGAAGCATTGCCTTCTCTCGAAGATATTTATACGAATCTAGTATGTTCAGAAGCTACACTCTTTATTGATCTAACACTATCATTTGTATTTGAGAATCTAGCGGTAGAACTTAGTACACTCGGTCTAGGTTTACACATAATTTTGTGTATTCGGATATGTATCTGGCAACATCCAAAGGCCTCAATATATCCATGTCCATATGCACATTTTGAACGGAACGGATTCAGATAGAGTTGGATTGGGACCGGATTGTGCTTCAATTGCATCACAATTCATATGCATATTATAAATTTTATTAAAGTTGACTTGTCAATAGTTGAAACACGAAAACAAAGGAGAACAAGTAGAGACGGTGAGATGACAAAATATTCCTTTATTTTTCATTGTCCTCGTAACATAACACTCGTTTTATTTCCAACACTCATATTTTATTTCCTTGACCTCATCTGGCGCATCAATCTGATTTGGGGGTTGTACAGTTATCGCCATTAACTGCAAAAGAAAATATAATATTAAAATTTTAACAATGTTGATCGTGAAGAGAAAGAAAACTACTAACGATACTTATTTCTCTAATAAGATTGTTGGCAAAAACAAGAGACAAACAATAGCTTGAAATGCGCAGTAACTCTGGAATAAAATACTAAACTGCGAGAATAGAATATTAACCGAATAATCAAGAATGTAAAACATCAAGAGAAGTTTAGATGGTTTTTTTCCTATAAGCGTATCAACCTTTTATCAAGTAGTATTATGAATATAATTAATGGATGATGTTATTTGTTAAAGCCAATGATTGGACCAATTGCAAATACACATGATCTTTTAAAGATGTTAACCTAACTACAAAAATAATCATGTCTCTAAGATAAACTCAGATCAATTACAATAATAGTACATTAAGAACTTGAATTTATAAGAAGACAACATCTGTATTGTAGTTCTCACAAGTTTTACTATTCTTAAAGGAACTGACAAATTTTACTTGTATTCTAAATCGTTACAACACGTTTAATTTAGATACATAGTCAGATGTGTACAAATAATGCCCAAGTTAATAATGTATTGAAAAATGACAAAAAGATAAAGTTCTGCAATAGATTATGCATACCTAAGCGTTATTAGTTTTGATGATTGGAACAAGCAAATCATCATCCCCGATAATAGATTAGCTAGTCATTTCATGGCGAGTCATCGTCTTCTCGATCCTACATGACATATACTAACATCAGGTTGATGGAAAGTGATCAAAAGTTATATTTTCCGTAGTCATTATCAAACTTTTATCCTTGGGGTGAGAAAATTTACTAAAATTAATGGCTTACCATAAAACTCTTCAGTCTCTTCTGAATCTCTTTCATTAAGGAGATTTTTTTTTTTCCATGTTCCAAAGACTTGGATAATATTGCTATTAGTTTAGTGACAGGGATGAAAGGCGATGATGGACTTTCAGAGATCCCATCTTGATTGGAAGAATCAACTGCACGAATGGCTTTTTCCCATTTTTTTTTGTTTTCAGCTCTCCCCGTCATATTAAATCCTTTTTTACATCTAAAAGACAAAAAATTGCATAAACTGATAAAAGAAGTACAAGAAAATGAAAGAAAATGAAATAAAACACAATAGCTTAGAAGAACTTAAGAACCTATATATATTTTTTACCTTGCTTTTCTTTTTCTGTAGTTGAATATGTTGTAGTGACATTGAAGGAGGAAAAGGATGGGTATGTATAAATTACATGGAATTGAGGTATTACATAGTATATTCATGCATTCATTGAATCCTTAGGTTTGCTCCTCAAGTGACTATATTATACAAAGAGCATGGACATGAGGTACATACATTATCACTGCAAAAATCATCTTGTAATGAGCATGTCTTTTGGTTGGATGAATCAAAATTCCTTGAACACTGCATCTCAAGCAATAATAAGAGGAAGAACCTGGAGAAGTGACAAGTGATATAGGTTAATGAGATTGCGTCAATTGATATATATAAACTTTTGTGACCCTTTGCATATATACTTCTAGTTATCAAGTTATGTTTCAAGAGAGACATTGTGGGTGACAGGGGTTAAGAGTAGAGTTAGGGTGGGGGAGAGTCATCATCAGCGACAGGGGGTCGCGTCTAGGGCTAGCGTGGGGGAGGAAAGGCAGGCTGCATGAGAAGAGGGTTGGGCTAGGGGGAGAGAGAGGTGTAGTAGTGTTGTCGGAGATCGGGGTCACCAGCGGCAAACGGGTGATCAGGGATAGGGCTAGGTAGAGAAGCGATATGTGCCCATATACTTACCCATCTCGGATACAGATATACCTCGATAAGAAAATTTTATATCCATATGCGCTAAAATCGGATACGGTTACCGATATATAAGCGGATATGAGAAAACTAGATAGTATTAAGAAAAGCATAGCTCATGGGATACAAAAAAATTCGTTAATATGTTCATATAACTGAAAAGCTAAGATTAGACATCTTGATCATCAAAATTAACCACAAATCCATAATCTAATAATCGAAACTATGACTAATATGTATACGGTTTAGCACACGTCTCACATCAGAGTTAAACGGTGTTAGTCATGGGCACGTTGTGTGACAGGTTCACTGTTGTTTTCTCTGATTTTCAAAGCTCACGGTAGTTTTCTTGAAAAAAAAGCCCCAAAGTTCACGGGTGTTTTTCCATAAACTACCCAAGATTCATACACGAGGGCGCATGTCAGTTACCTGGGCGTCGGTGGTCAACGATGTATCTGCTGGACGAGCAACGCCCTCGCACGGTTCACCGCAGCCAAGCACAGCACAATCTGGTCGTCGAGGAACCTAAGCTGGTGCATGAAGCTCGAGTAATTCGTCCTCAG